TTTTTCTCCTCTCACCTTTATCTGACATACGTCTCTTTCTCTCCAATAAATATCAAAAGCCATCCTTACTGTTTCTCTTGCCCCACTCCTAATACACTTCCCCATTTTAACACCACAATATTGTCTTTTTTCTGTCATTAGAGCGTGTAATTTTTTGACTGCAAGTCTGGTCCCACTGTAAATATTTCCAGTGTAGCATTACAGTTCCCAAATCGTTTCAGATCCTCCCATGGGAAAAGCAGAACTCCCATCTCAGTTTCTCATGGGGAGCGTTTTGGTAAATATTATTGCTGCTAGACCTCCACCCGCTGCTGGGCCCAAAACAACTCACCTTTCTATCCCCCTTTTTTTCTTAAAACCTCCCTCAAAAAAATTTCAGAAAAATCTGCAAAGTGCAGGTTATCTCTGTTTACTTTTATAAGCATACCAGTCCCGCTCCTTTCTCTGTTTCTAATATGTCTGCCTTTTTCTTTTTTACTTTCTTAAGATTTTTCAAGAAGCCCCTCTGTGTTGCCTCATGATCCTGAAATCCCCGGCTTTCTAAAGTTGACACTTCTCCCTTGTTGCTTTGACGCTTTGGTACTAAAGTGCTCACCTTCCTTATAACTGGCCGCTCTTTCACCTGAAGGGTTCCTGACTGTTTGAACCCAGGCCACTGCTTATCACTCGGACAGATTTATGACTGGAGAAGGCCAGATAGAAAACCATGCAAACTTTAATAGCACCTTTAACAACCGTGTCTATAGGCTAACCGCTCTCCTCCAGGGCCCATCTCTTTCCATATACGCTTTTAATGAAACCTATTTCTAGCCAACTGGCAGGACTTGAAGGCCCCATGGTGCAGGGTTGATTGACGTTGCTCTTGTGGCTACTGATTAAGGTTAAAGGAAATACGTGATACTCCCAGCTGTAGAACCAATGGGATCACTCTGACATGCAAAGAAAGAGTCAGCTCCAATGCCAGCTCTAGTTATTATAGCCTTAAGGCAGACCATTACTTTCACATGTGCTTACTTTTGGCAATCTGCCTCTAACTCTCACTACAGCTATGAAACCATCCAAATATGTTTACAACTTGTAGCTGTTTCTATTCATTATAGATCATTTTGCGCTTGCTTTAATGGATAGTCCTATACTTTTTCAAGTTGTTTTGTTCTGTTTCTCTCTTGGAATACTTTAAGAGGCTCAAACACCGGTAGTGAAAAAACACAACTTATCCTCAGGCATTTCCCAAAGCACATAATCTTCTTTGTGTAAGAATAGCGCACAGTGTTCTTGAAATAATAGGGTTTTTAAAAGGAATTGTAAGGTTCATTGCACTGAATAGCAATGTGTTACACAGAGCTGCTGTACAAACCAAAAGGACACATTTTCGGACTGATAGGATCCATTTATTATTCAAAGAGAGCTAAAAAACCTCATTTAAAATGTTTAAACTTTGTTAATTTAACACCATTTTGCTAGATCTTGCCGGGTTGAACGTCAGGACTTGACTAAGTGGCCAAGGGGCCTTGCTTCTACTTCAATCTACAGATGTCTGAGCTCCTTAAGCTAGTTCTAAGGGTGAGCCCAGCCACCACAAGGAAGAAAACTCATTCTGTTGGTTAAACCTCAAAGCTCATGGCCACAGATGGGGGTTGGATTGTAGATCGACAGCTTTGCCACACGGCTCAGCTCTTCCTTCACCACAATGGTCTGGTACAGTGCCTGAATTTAAGCTGCCAAATCCAACTTTTGATATTTTCACACATGTGAAAGAATTGTGAGAAATTGCTCCTGTTTGCTTTCTTGCAGAGAATGTGACAAGAAGATCAATACGACTCCTGTTTGGTAGCTGAAGATAAAGCTTAAGCCAGCAGGTTTCCGAATCAACCAGGACTACAATTTTAAGGATTGCCACTTAATTATAAAGATTATAAGAAGGAGGAGACATCTAGCCTGACTCTCTCCAAAGGCAAACAAGGTTGCCAACCCTTTTAAAGCTCAACATGATTACTGTTTTCTCATTCTTTACTAAAGATGAATTAACTAAATGTCAAGCTATTCTTTTCTATAGTTTAAATAGGAATGTGTCACATTTTGATGGGAAATGTGGAGATAGACAACAGATGTTGGTCCATCTATGACATCATATGATCATAATTATATTAAAACATGTTAACGTTGATATTGAATCATCACAGTTATAAGGAAAATGTAATATTGTGAATGCATTAGCCTAGTAGATGGTGAACTGGAATTTCACTTTCAATGTCAACATCTGAGCAGAGGTCAGTGAAAGCCAGTCAGATGCATGTTGGTGATGAGCTCTGTAGTTCACTGCCCAGCCTCTGTGACCCTTAGCAGGAGACTGGCTCCAGTCTTGTCCTCCACTGGACACTCAACACAAACTTACAACAGCAACCCACAACCTCTAACCTCTGCCAACTCACTGACCTTTACCCCCTTGATCTCTGTCCAATTCATCATCAAAAAGCCCTGGGATATCTCTCTAATCTGATCAGTGAAGGCATGTGGCATCTGCTGGGACCCTAATTGATTTATACTAATGTCCCAGTGATGACTGTTTTGGCTCTTGGATTATGTTTCACCTGTTGTTTTGACATGTTCTGTTATAGTGGTAGTTACATGGTAACATGGTGAGAAATATATATATGTGATGCTATACACAATTTTAGTTAGCTTGTTTCCTTTATTATTATTATTAAAACTATGCAAGGAATTTGATACATAGAATAACAAATAGAAGTAGATCTGTTTTTTGGACTTGCCAAACCTAACCAGTTAATAATAATAAAACCAGAGATATATTTATTTGCTCTTGGAAAATAATGGTATATAATGTAAAAAACATGAGCATCATGAAACTTTGCAACCTTGCCAAAGCCTCGGAAGAATATTACAATCTGGAAAATCTGAGCTAAGCCTGGACAGTTTTAGCCATAGCCCGTGTAGGCTTATTTGCAATAAAGCTGTGACAGGTACAGTATTGTAACTTTCTAAAATGTCACAGTCGGTGACTACAGGGCCGTATATCTTTATCAATAAAGCAACAGTTGCACTGAGTAAAAGGAAAGAGTGTGAAATCAAATAACTCGCTCTGCTGCCATAACATAGATAATTCAACACGAAGTAAAAAAGGCTCCAACAGCTGAGAATTGTTTTAGTATCTCACTAAAAGACAGAAGTGTTTTGTCCTTGTGACTGCAGTCGGTAAGACACAAGAGTTCTTATTTACAAGCTGTAAAAGCATACCAGTGTAATCCTTTACAAAAATACACACAAACAAACTTTCCCTCTTACATACATGGACACACACAGACACACACACCCATGTCAGAGCACACATGTGTTATTTTTAAGTGTCTATTTCCAGTGGCCAGTCCAGGACAAAAACAGCTTCGCTCGTATATCTTTGTTGGTGGTCTGACACTGACCCGTCCCCGGGGCCCATTGTGTCCAAGGTGGGTCAGCAACTCCTTTATAAACACTATAGTTGGAGCCAGACACATGTGGGGAAATATGACCAGCCACCAGCAAATACTGACCATTTGCAATGACTGGTCAGCTACTTTAAAATAGAACAATCTAAAACAACAATGAATCTATTGGTCTATCAATCATTCTTGGGCTTCAGGCTTGGACATTTATTTGACATTTATTTGGCATTAATTGGCATGCGTGAATATAAATAGACCTCTCTGGTGCCATTGTAAAAAAAATAACTGGATGCTACTGCCATAAGCCTGCTATACGCATGCAGTTCTTCAACAAGACATGAACAGCAAAGTTTGAAATATTAAATATAAGGAATAATAAGATGTATTGCATACAGTAGAGGCAATAAGAGAAGAAGTGCATTTTGGCAATTGTACCATATGATGACACGATAACTAGAAATGAAGGTAAGGAGATAGATAAGAGTTATTTTGTTAGGTTAAAGACCAAAAATGGCTGTTGCATTCGGGGTGAGGGATGCTGTTTTTGGTGAGGTGTGTGCACATGGCAGACGGAGCAGGGCTGGGCGATCAGCAGTGTTCAGTGGCAGTTTGAGTGAAGCAGCAGGTAGCTGGGGAGCTGTCCAAAGACATAACAGCTCTTGGGGGAAGCCAAGCAAAAGAGACGGGAAAGGGAGGACCGAGTGAAAGAGCCCCACAGTCCAAAAATCAGCCATCCAGGCAAAATATATCCACAAGACTCCGTTTCATCTCACAGCTTCATGGCTTTAAAGTGCATCATGCATTGCTTAGGATTGGTTTTCCCCACTGCTCATGTAGTTTGACTGTTCTGACGATATGATTCCAATGTTTTGACATACATCACAGATCACTGAATAAAAACTGAAAATATCCTTTTACCTCTACTTGTTGATTTTGGAAGAGTTTGACAGAAGAAAGAAGAAAATTAAAGAAAGAAATTAATAGATAAAAATCAAGCTTTCAACAGTAATTTCAATGCGCTCTGTTGAGACTGTGTCAAGTATTGATTGAAGATAAGAGGTACCACTCCCCTCTGTCAGCGGGTGTCCAGCTGCACTGTAAGACTTGTCTCTTTATGAACCCCCTTTCCAACCACACTGATACATACAGAATGGCTGAATTAGTGATCAATACTCTTGTCATTAACTCATCACCCCCTTCACTAAATCATAAAGGCAATAAAGACAGCTCTGTTTTCATAATGCAGCATGTACTTGTTTCTCTATATTGTTAATCACAGATGGTTTTAGGTGTGAACCACAAAAAAGGGCGGGTGGTGAGTAAGGGAGAAACAGAGAGTCAATTCAGGGATCTGTTACCAAGACGATGCCCTAACTAAAACCATATTTCTGCATACTCGCTGGTGATATGTGTTTCTCAGGGGGAATACAGTATGAGGTGGGTCCTGCTTGAAGCACTCTAGCTACTTGGAATGCCTCTTTGAATTCAATACCCTGCAGTGTGGGAAGGGAAATAAAACCTGCACTAGCGCCTCTGACATGTCCAAAAAGGAGCACTTACTTGTGACGGGTCATGGGCTTGTTTGGGGAATGGTGAGGGTTGAGTCCAGCCTTGTACAGGTTGAACCTGTTCCCATAGAAAGGACTGACATGGCCTCCATAGAAAGTTCCTTTACTGTCCGCCACAGATAGCCACACTCCTAAGAGAAAGAGCTTTGCAACCAGATGACACAACTTGGTCCTCATTGTTTTCTCCATGTTTCTTCTTTGAGACTTTTTAAAAGCACAACTTATCCCACAGTCTTGAACTGGCTGTTGAGGAAAAAGTTGTAAAAAGTGATAGTTGTAGCTTCCTCAGAGTGTTGGGTTGAAGTTCCCCGGCTCACTTGCAGTGTTGTCTTTCTCAGCGGGCCCTGAAGGAGACATGGAGCCCAAACAGCTGTAGCATCAGCAGCATCTCACGCCGCACGCCTTCACTTCACACACTAACCACAGTCTGAGCACATCGGACAGAGCAGAGGGAAAACTAGTGAGGCTGAAGAGGGAGGGGAGAGGAAGAGGGGCAAGGAAAACAACACAAAGGTGTGCTGGAGGAGGGGTAAAGAGAAAGAGGAGAGCAGGACAGAGGAAAGGAGGAGGGAAGAGAGTGTCTCTAGGAAAGTGTCAGCTCCATATACATGCAACTGGTGGGACCTGCTGACTAGGCTGGAGCCTCCGAGTCCTCTGCACTCTGCAGGAGAGAAGCTGTGTGCAAGCAGCAGCGCTCTCTGCCTCTGAAGGGGCCGGCAGACAGCCTCTATTTGCATATCCCACCCCAACCTCGCTGCTCTGAACAAGAGGGGTACTGACAGCTAATATGAGTTGGTGGCTCTCCCTTTGACTGTTTCTTCAGAGGTGGGAAGTAGTGGAGTACAAATACTTTGTTACTTAAAGGTCACCTATTATGCAAAATCCACTTTTTTCTTTCTTTTATACATAAACATGTGTCCCCTCTGTGTAAAGAGATTCCGAAAGTTTCAGGAACAAAGACCATCTCTCTTTTTGTCCTGAACCATTTCAATAAAAACCTGTCTGAAAATGAGCTGATAAGATTTTGGCCACTTCATGATAACGTTGGCTTGTGTAAAAGCCTCTACACACCAAACTGACACCAAAGAACACCAAAGAACACATCCCGACGGAACGTAGGCTCACGTAGGCTCACGTCTCCATGTTTCGCACTGGAACACATCGCAAAGACTTCAGCCGACGGCCAAGTAGCACGTACGAACTGCGCATGCGTGAGTGGCAATAACTCTCCTTACCAGCAGGCGGCGGTAGTGTATATTCGTCATTCAAAAGAGGCAACAACCGGAAGAAAGACTATGGGCCCTTCTCACTTCTCTTATTTTTCATTTCCTCGCTCCTCGGTCTCGGTCTCACCGGAAGTTGATTTGTCTGCGCCATCTTGAGTAGCGTCCCAATGGCCTTATTTTTGCCGGAGGACCGAGGAGCGATAATGGAGGAGCTATAATCGAGGAACCACCAGACCATCCTTCGATGAAATCCTCAGACACTCGCCCCGCCTCCTTACTGTGTATCCCTCACTGATTGGACGATGCATGCACTGATCTGATGCTTCTTGACATGAGAGCAGTTTCCCAGCGGAGTGAAGAAAATACATGAACCTCACGGGAGTCACTCCTCAGTTATACTGTGTTTTGTTTAAATTAATGTATCATTTAGTTACAAATATGTGATATATCTGAACAACAAAGTGGTCAAAAATAATTGTCTTCATTTATTGGAAACATTTTCATGATCGCTTTTTTCGTTTTACATTTTAAAAATGGCGTTTATCTTTTTTGAGAATGAGTTCATTTTATTTAATGTATTTGGGTCTACAACAGATGATACAAATGTTTGTGTCAGTAAATGTGTACTAACAGAGGCGGGGGTGTGTGTGGAAATAACGGGGACAGAGCTGGCTGCTGTCAGACGATCAGCTGTGCAGCGTCATCACAAAAGGATGTTGCTTCACGTGACGCTCCGGAGGAAAGGACGTCCCATTGCTCTTAAAACTCATTTCCATGCTTCTCGTGGTTTCCTTGCGTCTCTCCATGCTTCCCTGGTGGGAGGGACTAAACGCAGGGAAACGACGCAAGTGAGGGATGCAAGGAATCCATTTAACCAAGTGAGAAGGGCCCTGAGCAGGGGCGGACTGGGGGGGAAAAGTGGCCCGGGAATTAATTGACAGACAGGCCCACTTAATGTGCGGCATGTATCGGCCGGCCGGCGACGAAAGTATGTTACTTAACAAAAAAACCCTATGCATTTTATGTTATTTTGGACAATTATTCATATAGTAATCACATTACCTGAGCCCTTGAGTTGCCTAGAGCAAAAATAGTTACGGCATATATTTAGTGATTTTAATGTTAACATTAACATCTGGTCCATTTTGAGAGCAAAATTAGGGACTAAATCTATGGCAGTCAGTAGGGGCTTGGACTGTGAGCCGTAGGGTCGCCGGTTCAAGTCCCCGACCAGACCTATTTGGAGTGTGGACTTCTACTTGGAGAGGTCCCAGTTCACCTCCTGCCCTGCCGTGGTGCCCTTGAGCAAGGCACCGGACATCCCCCTTCCCCCCTCACTCCCATTGCTCCGCGGGCGCTGTACAATAGCTGCCCACTGCTCCTAGTACTAGACTCCTGGTACTAGGATGGGTTAAAAGCAGAGAACACATTTCACTGTGTGTGCTGTGTGCTCTGCATGTGTGACCATTAAAGAGGGTTTCATCCCTCCCAATTATTCTTCTTCTTCAACACCCATATAAAACAGAACTGTAAACAGATTAATTTTTTCTTTCAACATTGATTTGAACAGCAAGTGGAGGCAAAAGTGACTGCACCCAAAACAATAAACCTGCTAGCTAACTAGCCTAAACTCAGTAACAGAATGTGGGCAACACGTTCTTCTCCACAGCCGCGCGACCTCTGAGTCAGACGTCACTTCCCCCTTTTCTATCCTATGGGTACAGCCATACAGCCACTCCCCCTGAACCCTGTTGTAACAACATAATAAACTTTTTGGGGATGCAGCTTGGGATGTGAGGACATGGCTTAGAAAGGGCGTGTCGCTTTCTGTCCTGCCAGTGTTGGCAGGACATTAATTAAAATGTCGAACTCGGACTTCATTTTAAGGACATTTCGGCCAGGGGTGTAGAGCTATATTTGTTTAAGCACCGGATTGGCAAAACAGGAGAGTGTGTGCACCAGTCTGCCTTGATCTATGTATTCATGTCTGTGACTCTCACAGTATCTGCTGCCCGCAGCTGTTTTATAGAAGGAAAACCTCCTTCACTTCATGAAATCTCTGCAGCACCAGGAGGCAGCGGGAGGGTTAACTCAGCCTCTGAGAAGAGGAGCGCGCCGTGCCTTTCACGCACCGCCTTCACTGTGTTTACCTTCAGAATCATTAGAAAGGCTAAAGAGCGGTGTGGCTGATGTGTTTTAACCACACACACCTCTACACACACACACACACACACACACACACACACACACACACACACACACACACACACACACACACACGATTTAAACGCAGACTTGTGTTCCTCCATGTTACGTTGTTATTGTTTCACTGAGCGGACCCGCACATTTTTTTCAAACGCTCCCCTTTTTGGTCCATCTGCGCCGTTTTGTGCGCTGTGATGATTCGGCTGTACCTTTAGTAATGAATATTACCAGTCCGCCCCTGGCCCTGAGTGATAACCGAGAGAAGAAGAACAGACTGCGTGATATAAACAAACAACAAATAGCGTGTCTGTTCCATTTTCCCTCTACAGCGAGAAGCTCATGGGGCTTTCCCGAACCTGTGTCGAGAGCTGGAGTTAAATGAAATCTCAGATTTAATAGTTTGTTTGGGTCCCTCACTTCCGTTTCACTTCTCATGCACTGATTCGCTAAGCTGAACAGCCAATCAGACTGATTTCTTTGACATGTTGAAATGTCGACATGTCAAAGGCCAAAGGCCTACGAATCGGCGGCGGAAGGTCTCGGCACGGCCGAAAAAAGACACGACGGTGCAGTACACACCAATCTGAGTAAGGCGACACGACGCTCATCGACGGCCCGACATCTATTGACGCCGATAATCGGCTCGGTGTGTAAGAGGCTTAACCATTAGCCAATCACCAACCAAGGTAACACCCGCCCACCTTATCACCTGAATCTCCTCCTAGAGCACCTTTGTGTTTTTTTCTACCAAATATCTCTCATACACAACAACGGTGTTTCAGGGCCGGTTCGGAGCTGGAGCTTGAAAAGCACCGGGTTTTCCTGTTCACACCGCAGCGGAGCAGCCTCCGGAATCCGGTTCGTTTCAAGCACCAAATAATTGTCCGGCTAGACGCTAGAGCAAAAGCACCACATACGTCACGCTTACGTCGAGGCGGGGGCAGGGGCGGGATCAACTCCTGAACAACAACAAAAAGCCGGCGTTTTATCCAGTTTGTACACAACGATGGAAAAACTTAACAAGCAGCAGTGGTCCACTGAAGAGACCAGCTACCTACTGGGAATCTGGTCTTCCGAAGAGGTACAGAGGAAGCTGGAGCACAATCGGCCATTGTTGTTGTTGTCGGTGTCAGCTGTGAGGGGTTTCCGCACGGTTTGGCTTTATGAAGCAGGCACGCAAACGGTTACGTCATGACGCAAACAATGACGCAATGACGCAGCACCAGTCGGACTCTGGGCAGTGTGAAAAGAGCCGGAGCTAAACCGAAGAACCGGTTCTGAACCTGAAAAGCTCTAGCACAGAGCTTGAACCGGAGTTGCGTTGGTGTGAATGAGGTATCGGAGGGGCGTGGGGTATGGCACCTTATTTTCATCTAAAGTAACAGACACAGAATTGGCACTTTTGGAACAGGGCTGAAACAGAGGGGATTATGGGATGCTACAATGGGTGATCTGTTAGATATTTTGAGGCAAACACTTCAGAGACATGTTTTATATATATCTGAGACCTATAATATATCATTGAAAATGTGTATAATAGGGGACCTTTAAGTACATTTTTCTGGTATCACTAATTTACTCCACTACTTATTTTTCTGACGACTTTTTACTTTTACTTCTTACATTTTTAACACAAATAGATGTACTTTCTACTTCTTACATTTTCAAAACAAGTTCGTTACTTTAATTTTAATCTGTGTTTGGTGGCATGGTCATTATTATTTAGAGTCAATGCGTGCCTATTGATTTGAACACGATCCGCGTATCCATCATTTCCTGGTCTTCTCTAAAGAAGAGGGACCAATGAAAACTGTCATTTTGCCGTTGTTCAGCATCGAAGCATTCATTAGCTAACAATGACATTATTGTTCTATTAATATAAAGTGAGGTCCAGTAATTTTTACTTAAGTACATTTTGAAGCCCATATTTATTTACTTTTACTCGAGTAAAGAAGTTTAGTCAGTACTTCTACTTTCACCAGAGTATTTTTAAACACGAGTATCTGTACTTCTACTTGAGTAAAGGTTGTGTGTACTTTTGCCATCTCTGTATTTCTTACACACACTCACACAAACAACACTTGGTCTATTTCTTAATTCTGATTTAGCTCCATTTGCCATCACATCTCCCGCTCCGTAGTCCGTACCCCTTTCTCTTCAATCTCCAACATACGTTTTTCTTTCTCGTTAATTCCTGATACATTTTTATTACT